TGCTTTTGTGTAAAAATGAATATAACTTCGCCAGAGGCAGTTTTGTGAAAAATCGGTTTTTCGCCTGTTACTGTCAAAAATTAAAATCCCTATATCTCGATCAAATCTCATGCTGACTCGAGGAAATTATCAGGAAACGCTCAGGACAGCTCATAAAGCATAATCGAAGACGAAAAAGGTGAGTTTCAGCCGGGTATTGGTTTAAGGTTTTCCAGAAACCTTCTGGAAAATCTCAAAGCGTCAGTGTCCTGCTGGACCACTTTTTCGGCGTGATCAACAATATATGGCACCCTTTAAGTCTTTCCTGAAAGGTTCCTTGACTCAGCGTGAGATTTGATCGAGATATAGGGATTTTAATTTTTGACAGTAACAGGCGAAAAACCGATTTTTCACAAAACTGCCTCTGGCGAAGTTATATTCATTTTTACACAAAAGCAAATGTTGCCACTATGCTCAGCGTAGTCGATTACCTATAGTCCATGGCATTTTGAGATTCCCAGAGATGTCTGCTCGAAGATAGACATGTGCTCGAGGAAAGCGGGCTCTGTCCGAACGAAGATAGCTAGAGAGCCGGAGAACAATAAATTGCATATCAATTACAAAGGTGACAATAACTCGAGTTCATCACCCGCCACTATCCTAGTAACAACAACAAATCAACAAGTACCGTTCTCAATGACTGCAACTGCTCTTGAAAACGGCGGCTTCTTTAGTAGTATTTAAAGAACGAAACTAGAACTGTCTCAAACTCAATAAACTTGAAACTTTTTAAAATACAGTTTTGTTAGTGAATGGATAAGTATTGTGTTTATCGATTTAAAAATACTGCAACTAAAACTTTGTTAACGGTTGTCAGAACAAAATTAAGATAAGTATCGATGAATTTCAAAGTTTTTTCTACGGTTTTAAAAAAGCAACTAAAATTCATATCTATTAACATTCGGCAAAAAAAGAGCGTATATTATTCTTTGCAGCTTTATTATCCATTTAGCGATCCAGAACGACCTTCAGGAAAAACGTATCTGTACCACTGAATTCAGGAGAATGTGACACATATAGTCAAAGATTCCTTAAGGGTCCACCCCCTTAAGGAATCTTTGACTATAGGATTACTATTGGGGGTGGCCCCTCCCTCAGAAATGATGATTTTCGGTCAAAAAATCGATTTTGAAATACGCACATGAAAAGATAGCGTGAAGTGTCTACTTCCAGAATCTGTATTGCTTTTGATTACAAAACTGGTTTTTCGGGGATTTTGAGCAACTTTTTTAAGGGCCTCGAAAAATCGGGGCTTCAAATAATAGTTCTTTCCTGGATACTTATGCAATTGAAATTTTTCTAAACACACAACCTTGTAGAGCAAACGTTTCTGATCAAAATAAGACCTCGCACAACTCTGTATGACCTTGCATCAAAAAGTTACCGGCATTTTTCTAGAAGTCCTAAAATCGGATGTTTCATACAGCGTTTTCTCTATATAAGAGTTACACCTAAAGTACATCCCAAGCTTTTTAATAGCGGTTTGTCTTAGAGAGTTCGTTTTTTGTGTTTAAGAGAGGAAAAAAAAGTACATGAACTGGCCGGTGTCGATTTTTGAATTAGGTCTTAGTTTTTTGTCAAACTGAGGGTTTTTAGAAAATCTGGAAGGCTTTTCTCGGGTTTTGGAGGTTGTTGGTTGCCTGGAAAACCAATAAAGGCTGAATTAAAAAATCGGCGCCGGTCAGTCCATGTAGTTAGGTGTCTAGTTTAAAATAAAACAAACTCGAACTCTACAGCTCGAAGTATATTAAAAAGTCTTGGGCCGCACTTCAGGGTCCTTTTTGGATCTTGACCTCTGGAAAACTCCTAAACCGTAAGACTTGGAGTCAAAAAAGTTTTTCATTCTCGTAACTTATTGTGTCTAACATTTACGGAAAGTTTCGTCAAGATCGGATGTACGGTGTCGGAGATAATTTCTGAGGGGGGGGAGGGATTAACAAGATAAGGTCTTTAATTTCGATTTAAAATTTTTAGTTCAATTAGATTGATTCTAAATAATAATTGCAAATAATAGTATACGTTCAATTATTTCAAAAATCTTGCCAAATAACACAAGTTACTAAAACAGCAACTGGTTTCGTACTCACCTTCCTTATTCTTTTATTCAGTATGGATGGGATATTTCCAGCAGAATTATTTTTGGAAATATTTGAATATTTACCAGTAATTGATATATTTCGTGGTTTTTGCAATTTAAATTCATATATAAACTCAATAATAAATCAATTACATTGGAAAATTGATTTATCATCGAAACGTGTAACAATCATGGACGAACTTTATATTCAACAAAAAATATTTCCATTATATTCTAATAAATTTCATCATTTAGGTGTATGGTCAAAAACAATTAATCTTAAACAATTTTCAAATTTACGTTCATTATCAATTTCATTTCCATCCGAACAACAATTTGAACAAATTTATGGTCAAACATTTCCATTTCTTCAATCATTATCAATTAATTATAGACATGATTCAACAAAATATCAGGCATTATGTACAAGAATATTTTCAAATGAATTTCAACAATTAAAAAAATGTTGTTTATCAGATGTATCTTATCAGTATCTATCAAAATTAACATGGTTACCGATATATTATTTGGAATCGTTAACCCTTCGTTTATGTAATCAAAATAGTTATTATTTATTATTAAAAAATCTATCAAAATTAAAATATTTTTCTGTTACAATATATACAGAAAATGATAATAATAATAAAATAATGATACCAACTAATACAATTGATAATTTAATGTATTTAAAATTAATTGTTCCAAATCAATCAGAAATGTCAATGGATGAATTAGAACAATTAGTATCTTATACACCAAATTTAATACGTTTATCATTTCATCATGAACATACTATTGATCGAAATTATTTAGATTTTAAAAGATGGAAAAATTTATTTTTAAAATTAAATAATTTAAATAAATTTCATTGTAATATAACAATTGATTTTTTATTTGAAAATGAACATAAGGCATTAACACAATTAAATGATATTAAATATCGACATGAACATTGGGCATTTGAATGTATGGTATATGAAAGAATGAACGAAAAAAGTTTAGGACGAATTTATACACAAAAATTGGAGAAAAGGGAATGATGATTTATCATCTGAAATAATGTCACAATTTTGACTTAAAATTAGTTATAGAATTAGAAAATGATATATGAAGTCATCGTTCGATAGTTTATTAAGTCTTTATTTAATAATGAACGATGTAATCTAATAAATGTTTGTTTTAGATTAATGTTTGTTGTTATTATAAATTCATCAGATGTTACAGAATTTGGATAATCCAAAAAGGTTTAATTTTTTTCAAAAATTCTGTGAGGCTCTTCTTAAACATTTAATATATCAACAAGGAGAAAGTAATTATACATAATTGTGTGCTCAATATAGAATGAGAACGGTTTCAGCGAAATTCAAAATTTTAATTGTATAGCCTATGAAATGTAGTTCAGAAGTTTAAGGCACTTTTTTATTTATAATTTTTTCTCCTGAACCTTAATAACTACAATAAATTTGAGGATACCCATGTACTAAAAATCGCATAAAAATCGGCAATTAATCGTGAAAAATCATACGATTAATCACGATTAATTGCCGTGATTTTTAGGCGATTTTAGCGATTAATAGCAATTAATTGACGATTTTTTTCTAGGTACTAGGTTCGAATCCATCTTAGGAAATACATATTTTTTTCTGTTTTTTCATTGTTTATTACGTATAATGACATGTGCAACAGCAATGGTCTTAGCACCAGCTGGCGTCGGAGTCTTGTCGACGAGTCAGCTTTAAACACTGCCCACATACCAGCTGTTCAGTGGGCTTCTCGGTTTAAAGCTCTGAGAAACTATAGAGAAGACTCTTGACAACTCCGTTGTATTCTAAAATAAAAAGATGATCTGAATATAAGTGTATTTTTCACTGAAATCGTGTTTCTTATATACATACTTTATTGCAAAAGAACGGTGAATAGCAACAATCATTTAATCACTTAAAATCAACAAATAATCGCAATTAATTGATGATTTTCGTGATTAATCGCGCTGGTTGACAAAGTCATTGATTAATCGCGATGCACGAAAAAATTATCACTTAATCGCGATTAAATGATCATTTTTTCCCGAATCGCGATTGAGCGTCGATTTTTTCAACCATGGCGATTAATCGACAAAAATGAAGCGATTTTCAGTACATGGGTAGATTCGCACTGACTTGGATATTTATAAATACATTGCCGAAAAAACGTTCTCATAACCCGCTTAGAAAAAGAGTTTCACAGAAAGCCAGGATCTATAAAAATCCTACATTTTCAAAGCTCATGTCAAACATTTCTTCCATTATTTCGTAAGATATATAGATTTCAAAATGAGACGATTCGCAGTTCTCTACGATCTTTTTTCATTGAGTTATGACTTTTGCACTCAAAGCGATAACCAGTCTTTTTTTTCATAATGTTGCCTCAAGTTCCGCTTGTGAAGTTTTGGGTGCAAAGGTCATAGCTCAACGAAAAATGATCATAGTGAGCTGTGAAACGTCTGATTTTGAGACGTATATATCTTACCAAATAATGAAAATAATATTTGATATGAACTTTGAAAACGTAGGATTTGTATAGATCCTGGCTTTCTGTGAAACTCTTTTTCTAAGTGGGTTAGGGTTATGGTAACATTTTCTCGAAATGTATATATAAACATCTAAGTTAGTGTCAGTGGTTCATCTAGGCAGTATGCCCGGAACGTTATCTGGCATTTCTATCTTTCTTTGCTATCCAAATTTGGTGAGACAATGTTACAGCAGTGATGATCAGTCAAAAGAGGGCATGCTTTCTGATTTTTTCTTTAGGATACTCCTCTCCCGTTTTTTCACCTTGTGGCCAAATGCGGAGTACCCGTCCGGTCGAGCTCAAATTTATAGCAGAGATAGAACATCGAAAAAGAAAATCGATGTATTTTTGCCCAGACTTTTCTGTTTGACTTTTCTTGTTCTTATATGGGTTTTCTGGAAAACTCCAGTTTTCATTGGGTTTACATTATATTAAAACGGTCCGATCGAGTTCAAATTTTTATCACTAATACTTCAGACCCTATCTTAGAATGTAAATTTTTTCGGAAAAATACGCTTTCCTTCTCGAGATATACGAAAAATGCTGAAAGTCAGTGAAAAAAAATTAAAACATCTGACTCTTTCTGCGTGATTTTCAGCATTTCTCGTATATCTCGAGAAGGAAAGCGTATTTTTCCGAAAAAAATTTACATCCTAAGATAGAGTCTGAAGTATCAGTGATAAAAATTTGAACTCGATCGGACCATTTTTACGACGGATCGTAATGTGGGGAAAGCGAAAAATGGTCGAAAGAAAATAGGTCGAGGGAAAATTGGTCGCGGTGAATTGGTCCCCACGAAATATGGCTGCTACGAAAAATGGTCGCCACGAAATATCACCGCTAGGAAATATAGTCGCTACGAAAATTAGTCGAGAAATTTTTTTGTAATAAAAGAAGAAAAGCTTTTTTTTAAAGAAAAGAGTTTCATTGAGACGAATAAGTTAAACAGATGCAAGAAAAAAGAACAGATCGAAGTTACTTAGGAATCTGTTGATTACTTCAAAGGAGCAGATATTTCTCTGATGTTAGCAAATTATTAGAGACTATAATTTCTTTTAATATTAAAAGTATCAGATCAGCAGGTTGTTTCGGGGTTATATATAGAACTATTGCAGAAGAGTAGGCTACACTTTTCTTCCAAAATGACTACATTTACACTCAGT